TTGGCATTCAAAACTTACAGATCTGGCTGTTTCCAGCCTACCATTAAGGGCAACTTTCAGGCTTGTTCTTTATAACTTTGCAATAATCACTTTTGATATTTTGTGGTTGCTGTGTCTTCTATTTGTTATAGTCATTGTGTATGTTTTCTTGGATCTGCTTACTTCTACATGAGAACATGTCCTTCTCTATTCATCACATTGTCTTTTACAACACAGTAATATTCCATTATATTCACACAATAAAATTTGTTTAGCTATTCCCCAGCTGATCTACTTCGTTTCCAGCTCTTTGCTACCAAAAAATATTATATGTTATAAATACTTTGTTTATCTTTCTTATCAATGACTTCCTTGGGGTATATACCTAGTAGTAGAATCTCTGGGTCAAAGGGTATGGACAGTTTAGTCACTTTATTTGAATAATTACAAACTGTTTTCTAAAATGGCTGCACTGATTGACAGCTCCAAACGGTAGCTCTTTTTATACTGCTGAACAATTCTCTAAACCTACATCTGATAACCCAGTAGATTTTAACTTCCATTATGGCAGGAAGTTTTCTTATTCCTGTTTATGTATCCCCACTTCTTAGCACAGTGCCTGGAATATAGCAGGTACTAAATAAAATGTTTATCAAACTGAGAATCATCATACCAAAATCATGTTTACATTGAGATATCTTGCTGGAATTTGGGAAGGGGCTTCTTGCCATCAATTCATTTGCCTTGGTCAAGTTACTCAACTTCTCCAGGTTTTAGTTTCCTATAAATCAAATGGGACTAACTGATAGTAATCTATATCATCTCAAGCCTATGTATAACAAAATCTCATTGATTTGGACTATTAGAGAAACACACTTATGAGTTTTTTAAAAAAAAAGACTTCATGGCATATTTACTAAAAGAAACAAATTTCATTTCTTTGAAATAAACATTAAAATTATCAACTACTCTGGTGTTGGCATATACAGGTTCTGAAAGTCAAAGATTACTTATAATTAGCATTATATTCAAACACATGCTAACAGAGATTGAAAAGTTCTCCAGTAGGTTAAACATTCTTCTGCCTATCTTGTTTACATTTTTTTTTTGCTTTGCCTTTGCCCCCCATAAAACATGAAAGGTTGTACTTCAGCTAATCCGATGCCCATATTATCATGAATTTTGCTGTTTGGTTGTTTCAGCCATGTCTGATTCTTTGTGACCCCATTTGAGGGTTTTCTTAGCAAAGATACAAAATGGTTCGCCACTTCCTTCTCTAGCTCCTTTTACAGATGAGAAACTAAGGAAAATGGGGTTAAGTGATTTTCCCTGGATCATACAGCGAGTGTCATAGGCTGGATTTGAACTCATGAAGATGAGTCTTCCCAACTCCAGGCCCAGTGCTCTATCCACAGCACCACTAGCTGCCCTATTATGAATTAGGATACTCAGAACCAATGCCATACTATTGAACTGCAAACTCCATGAGGGGAGAGATCTTAGATTACTTCTATGAACCTAGTATAGTCTTTTGCACAAAACAGCCACCTAACAAATGGTTATTTTTTTTTAAGCAGGCATAGTTCAATTTACTCCTTGTTTATTTAAAAAACATCTATGTGGTCACCACAGCAGCTGCCTGGGTCCTCTGGACAGCCATGCTAGTGTGAATCTTCACAAGACGGTCAGTGAATTGCAGATAGGGAGACTTAGTGAACATAGCTTCTTTCCACGGGTCTGGGATTAGGTAGCTGTATGTTTGTTTTTACTGTTGTCTTGACCGTATTTATGGAGGAGAAAATGCAACAATGACTCACAAGTTGAATCACAAAGAAAGTAGACATTTTTCTTTTAACTTTTCACTCAGTGTCTAGGTGACTCTCATCCTGAGGATGGCTGAGGCAACTTAAATTTCAAAAGATCCAGGTTAAAATCTAAGAAGGTCTAAGTGTTGTAATTATGATGCTGAAGGTTCTCATAGGTAGAATTCTCAAATGCCTCAGCACTTTCAATCCTTTGTGGTGGCTGCTGAATTTTAGACTTCTTTTGTTTTTCTTTTGCACTGCCTCCTGATTTTGTAGAGAGAAAAACTGTTGAAGCAAATTCTCCAAACCCCCATGCTTTCAGCTGTATGGTCTTCAACACTGCCCCTCGGTCCAGTTTCAGGAAAGAGGAAAAGGCCGTGGCAGCACTATATGAAGACAGCAGATTATTACTCCTATTTTGCAGAGCAGAGGGAGAAAAGGATATGAATGCCTTCTCACCAGTTCACAGGTTTTGCTGCTTCTCCTTCCTCCACTAGGACCTGCCCAAACTGAAGGAGCTTGGGATTGGCACTGCTATTTCTAAAGTTCCTATCTTATCAAATGAACAGTTCAGGGTTAAGAATGAATCCTGGGTGCTCCTTGCTGCTCCTGTGTGATGCGGTCCCTTCCAGGGATTCGAGTTTCCTAATTTATAAAAAATGAAGGTAGTGGACTAGAAGTGAAAATGGCCTGCACTACAGGGATACTGGGAAAAGAAAGGAGGAAACAATGGAGATCCACTATTCTCTAAAATAAATTCAGTCTCCACCATCAACCTCCAACAAGGCATCTTGGGACTGCCTGGCTCAGTGACCATGGTTCTTTTTTTTTCTTTTTCTTTTTCTTAGGCAATTGGGGTTAAGTGATTTGCCCACGGTCACACAGCTAGTACGTGTCAAGTGTTTGGTCTGAGGCGGGATTTGAACACAGGTCCTCCTGATTTCAGGGCCAGGGCTCTAGCCACTGCGTGACCTAGCTGCCCCGTGACCACGGTTTACAACAAATTTCTTTCCTTTCCTTACTCCTTCCCGCCCCCAAATCTTATGTCTATAAATCTATGATCCTGTGACAGGGAGGTCTTCAATCAATGGCCTGAAGTAACTCCCAGTTTTTGTGGCCGGATAGGAAGAGGGAGAAGAGTTAGAACAGAGAAGTGGAAATATGGCTAGACTGGGGACTCCAGTGAGACATGTTTAAATTTTCAACTTGGACAAATACTAACACTGGCAAGTCACTTATTCTCTCTGGGCCTCAGTTTTCTCACCTGTAAAATGAGAATAACACCTAGAATATGCACCTTATAAGGTTTTTATAACAAAACAGATATAAAGTATGTTGTGTAAATGTCAGCCATTATTATAAACAGACATCTGCCAAGTGCCATATGCTTCTGCCTGACATCCCTTCCAGCACCATTAAATCTCACAAGTTCCCCTTTGAAAATTCTACCTGGCATCAAGGAATTTGCCCAATCTTTAGAGGAAGGCCATTTGACTCCATGAAAGAGTCAATAATACTAATTATTAGGAATGGAGTTGTGTGATATGGCCAAGGAAGCTAGAGAGAAACCAACACAAAACAATTTCTAAACATTTTTATTTCAAATCCCCTGCCCACCCCTCCCCGAAAAAGACATGGGTCTGAACAACAGTCATAAAAAGGAGATACAAACACAAGAGTCAAATGTCTCCCGCACCAACACTTACAAAAAAACTGGGAATTTTACATGGGATTTCCAAACAGGACCTGCAGCAGCTACTAATGTCTGAATACAAGAGTCCAAACATGCCTATTAATACAATATATACAGACAATCCCCATTCTGTAACTAATCTACAGGTACATCCAAACATCCCCCACCCCCCCACCCCCAAGAAAAATACCAAAACACACCCAAAGTGCATTTGTTATGTTTATATCAAAACATCTTCCCCGTCCCTCGTACTCTTCCCCACTTAAAGATTGGCCTGCAAGTTTATTTTTAACCATTTAGTACATTTTAATAGTTTATGAAAATAAATTATACAGTAACTATTTTAATAAATTAAGCACAAAAAAGATAGGGAATAAGGGGAAGGTGGGGAGAAAAATGTGTCCAAACTAAGTGGGAAAAGAAGCCAGGTCACTTTGGGCTGGTGGAAGTGAGGATGACTTCAAGAAGGGCACAAAGTTGGGGGTGGGAAGTGAAGGGGAAAGGACTGGTTAGCTTCTGGTTGAGAACTAGCAAACAACCTGAGCCCAGATTTGGATACCCTACTTTTAAAGTTTCCCTAGAACACAAATAGAGAGACGTGGTTTTGTCACTGACAACACCAGTTTCTGCACTCAAACAGGCTAATCTTCCAAGAGACCAGTGTCTGGATTTTTATGTTCTTTGGAAAATTCATGGTGCAACTCTAGGGGTTAGAACCTTCCCAAGAGAGAATCCTGGGTGGGAGAAATCAAGCAGATATTCTTGATCCATTTCTGCAGGTTGAGGAGCTAAGGCAGAGAAGATTCCAGCTTCTGAGCTGAGGCCCTATGTCTGTGACTGACCACTTTAGTTTTGGTGAAGGGTATAAACTATGTTTTTCTTGCATTCCTTCTCTAGGGGCAAAGAAGATCGCAGTCCAGCTACGACCAGTCATTTAAGTCTATCCTACTACTGTTGGCTGTCTTATTTCCTTCTTGGCTGCTGCCTCATGCCCTTCTGTGGGAAGTATTCCATGGACTCTTTAAGACGAGACAAAATACAAATGACGGTGAGTCAACAAACCCAGCATGCAGGGCCGGCTGGAAAGAGACCAATGGAGAACAACAGGAAGAATGGGGAAGAAACATGGTGGCAGCACCAAGCCAGAAAGGGGAAAAGGAGTGAAGAGGACAAGGACAGAAATGTCATATAATCTGTACGTAAAGAAAAGGTTTTCCTTATGTCAGAAAATAAGACTTTAAAAACAGTGCATCACCATTTCTGTTTTAACTGCAGCACCTGGATCCCTAGCTTCCCTGTCTTTGTGGCTTACCCACTACCCCCCACCCCCATCCCAAATCTATCATTTCCAAATCCTCCTCTAGATTGTGCTGAGCATGAAGGATCACATTCCCCAGGTTATAACTGGATATCACAAGGACTTCTGTACCTGACTCTGCCTTCTTAAGTCTTATGACCCAATAATCCTTAGACAATTATTATAAGGGTCATTTTAAAGGGAGGGGGGGGAGGTTGTTCATTAATTTTTTTTTTCTTTTTAAATAAAAAAGTTTTACTCCCCAGGAGCAAATAAATTACTTTGAACTACCGATAAACACTGCTGCAGTGAAAAGAAAGATGGCTACATGTATGCAATAGCACAAATTCAGTGTAAGACCAGCTATGTTGGAGACTATAGATAAAAGCACTTACCCTCTCCCTCCTCTGACCCTCCCCACCCCCCCACAAACCAAACCAAAAGATTCCCATAGGGAAAATGTCTAACTCCAAAGCTCCTCCCTTGGGGGCAGAGGACATTTTCTTAAGCTTGGCAAATATGTCAGATCTCCCCCCAACAGAGATGCTCCCAACTCCCCAAATGATGGGTAACAGTTCTGTAAGTGAAGACAGACATGCACCCAGACTTTCAGACCTCTTAGAACCATTGCCAAGCCTTTCAACCCCAGAGCTCAAAAGGAAGTTAGAGGCAACAAGGAAGGTAAAAGAGAAAACAAAAACATTTTTTCTGCAGAGAGCAGAGGGCTTCAGGAAAGCTTTGCTGTTCCAGGAGCCCAGAGGAAAGACCTGAGAGGCTGGGACTTCTCCTAGGATGTGTCTCTCTCCTTTTGCCTCATCTCCAGCACCTCTTCTGGGTGCCTTGACCTCCCCCATCTCTTCTTGGGAGCAGAGCGGGTTGGAAGCTCCTGTCACCTCCACACTGTTCCCAATCTTAATAAGGAGAAAGGGTTTATATAAGCAGCGCTACTAGAAATAGAACGGAGTTGGCCCCACCCCTTTCCAAGTCCCTTCCCTGAGGCAGCTCAGGCTCCAGAGAGTTCCAGTCATTATATTTAGGCACAGGGCTAGGTCCCAAGGCCAAGGCAAACATTATTGATCAGGAGCTTCGAAGCCATCTGTCCTCACCCATAGATGTGTGTCTCCCCACAAGTCCCACCCTCCCCACCCCCATCGCAGCATACGAATTTCAAGTAATAGCAAGTTATAGCAGTAGTTGTCACTAGCTCACATAAGTCTAAGTCTATTCCTGTCCCACGGAAGGTTACAGTAGATAACGGACAAGAGGATTAATTCAGTGAGTCCACTTTGCAAGTAGCCCAAGGGTGCAACTGACATCACTTGCCCAAGCCAACCCTTTAGGAAGTGATGGATCCTCTGTCTTTTCCAGTTTCTGTGACTTAAAAGAAAATGGGAGTGGGGGAGAATGAATTCATGAGTAACTTGCCATTTTCGTTGACTTTAATGTGAATGAGGAAGAGGTAGGTAGGTCAGTCTAATCAGAAGGTATCTGGAGGAGGGCATGAGGGGCATATATTACTGGCATAGCTGCACAGCCTCTCCCTGTTCTACTTCCAACCTCTTAGGCCTGATTTTTCAGGGTCACCTCAGGCAATCCTAGTCTACCACTCTGCTTCTCTGCCATTTCCAGACTCACTTCCTGAGGATAGCCAAGTCCCTTCCTGCCCTTTTCTGTTCTACCATCCCCTGCTGTGGGATGAGCATCCAGCAAGAGGCTGCTGTAGGGGCAGTTGCCCCTGCAACCAAGGAGAAGAAAGACAAGTGGGGAGAACTGTCAATTATTCAGGCCAGTTTGAGTCAGGATTTGAGAATTCAAATAATACCATGGAAATTCAAATGCCTTCAGAGAAAAGGGCCATATTACACAGTACTTCCTTAGCTGTCCCTGTGGAACAATAGGTAGGGGATTGGCAGCCTTCAGAGGGTCCTATGAGGCTGCCAGGGAAAGGAAGGTAGGTCCTCAAGACTCGATTCAGCAGTCTGCCTCCTCCAGATTCCCTCTCAGGGTGAAAATCTGCTGACGGATGCTGGAGGTTTCTAACTATAAACCAATGAACTGAAAAGGAGGAAAAAGTCAAAGTTGATATATCTAGCTAGTATGGCTTGGGGTTCTGAGCTGCCCAACATGTTACACTCATTTCTACCTCTGTGCACCTACTCATGCTGCTCTGTCCCTTTCTGCCTATTTCAATCCCACTAAACCTTCAAGACTGTCAAGTGTCACATCTATGAAGCCTTCACTTCCCACCTCTAGTTCACAGGGACCTCTAACTCCTATCACACATCTGTACTATAATTTGGCAGTTGATTCTACATTGTCATACTATTTTCTAAATGCTTTGTGTAATGCAAAGTATCTCCCCAAATTCCTATCTCAACTTACGGAGGAATCAGGTTCTAGATTCCTTTTGAATCCCCATAGTACCTTGAAAATAGCAGAAGTTCAAGCTTTCATTAGCAACAGCCAAAGAAAATAGGGGTTAAGCATCTGCCTTCTTATGACCAGAAGCAATTCTAAACTTTCCTCTTCAGGGTCAAGGTTCACAGGTGCTAAGCCTATTTCTTCATTGAAAGTGTTGCATTAAGAGCCACGGAAGGGAAATGTTCCTTGTGACATGAGTGGTGGGCTACGTTGATGCTGCAAAGCAGATTTCAGGGCCAGATCTCCCAGGTGTCTTTACATCCTTTGAAAGATTTATAGTTTGGGAGACTAGCCATTTGGGATGGGGGACACATAACAGGAAGAGCCATCATCTCAGCCTTCAGTAGTCAATGCTTCCAGATGAGGTATTTCTACAAATTACTGAGACACTGAGGGCCTAATTCCAAACTTTGAGGAAACCACAATCTTGGTTTGATAACACATCTAAGATGAAGTAGAGATAAACACAGGGGAATTGTGGAGACAATTTCTCGGAGCACCTATTGCAAAGTATTAACAGTCTTCCATATGCTGTGGCCCTTCTTAGGTCAGAATATTTTATAAGATTACATCTTAATACGAAATCTCAACTCAGTCAACTCCACATGACAACAGTCTCAAAAGCTTATCATTCAGAGTCAAGTGATGGTCACCTTTGGGACAAGTTTAAGCTTCCAAAAAGCCTCCCTGCATTTCTCCTCTCAACAGGAAGACTTAAAGGTCAATGCTATAGGACAGAATAGCTTCCAAATCAGCAATGGATTGGATTTTTCATCAAAAGAAGGGCAGTGACCCAGGTACTTTCCACCCCAACCCACCCTAATATGTTTAGAAATAAAGCCACTATTTGGTTCCTTGCTACCTCCCTGGTCCAGAAGCTGAATGACATGCTTAGACAAGAAGATAAACTTTCAAGCATGAGATTTAACACTCTGCTGATCAGGTCGAAGGATCCTGCATTCTGGAGACAGCATCTCTAGAAAAGGGGTGATGGTTCTGTCCCTCACCTCTATCCTCATTCCATCTAACTGGCTAACGGATTAGGAGGGAAATCCTAAATTATGGAGATGGTCTGACATGAAGAATCTGAAACCACAATTGGGGGTTTGAACCATTCAAGCAACGATAAAAATACTATTTCCTTTGTGGAAACAATGGGATGTACCATGTCCAAGGTAAAATGTGCTGCTATAGGAGAGAAGGGAGAAGTAAAATATTTATTTATTTCTTCCTAGTTTAGAAGGAAGAACAGAAGTACCCTGAGGTCGTGGATTTCAGGAAATAGGTAGAGCAAATTTTAAAAGCTTCTAAATGTCAGAGGCATGCGATTTCAAGATCTCAGACCTCAAATAGGCGTGAAAAGACTTCAAATACATTGCGAATAATATACCCATTTGTCAGTTTCCTTCCCATAACGTTTTGTTCTATATTGTCTGCCCTTCTTCATCAGCTCCTCCAAGGAGCCTACACTTTATACAAAAGGCTCTTAATTAACGAACTCCAAATTCCTCATTTCATCCTCCCTCAGGCCCCTATTACTTATGACATGTTTTCTCCACTGCAGAGCACCATAGCTAATGTTAAAGGGTCTGTTTGTAAGCCCTTTCTTTTCATTGATTGGGGCAGCTCCTTCCCAAACCCACCTCAAATCCAATGGGCACAATCCCCAGCTGCTCTTAAGTCTATGTTTTCCATACTGAAAATGGAAATATCTAAATAAAACTTCTGAAAAAGAAACAGTACTGAGACTTTCTCCACCTTTCCATGCTGCTGATCCAGTTGTATGATCCCAACAAGGGATTCAGAGCTGGCAGTTGGCATTCCCACCTCAAGAACTCTGTTGTTGTGTGCTTCTTCTGTGCCTTACATGGCAATCAAACATTTTGTACAGAAAGTCCTAACTGTTCCTCCTTCCCATTTGCTCTTCACTTCCCTTATCAACCACGTAGCTTCATTTGGTTCTTTGCAACTGGAGCTTGGCCACCAAAATACCTTAGGTAGAAAAGAAAGAAAAATCAAAATCAACAAGGGCAAAGGCCCAACATTCTTGAAGTAGAATGGCTATTGCCAAATAGTAAAATGAGATGGGTACCAATGACACCAACAAAACCATCTTTATGTAGCTAACTCATTACTGAGATAATGCAAGGGCAGCACCCTGTGGCACCTGTCACTTGGTGGTATCTTATGACTCCCTACTATCCTTTTCTCTGTCTTCCCCAACACCTTCCCTGAAGGTCTCACAGAACTTCTATTTTTCCCCATAGGCTTACCAATCGCCTTCACAGGTAATGCCCAGTTATGGATAGCGTCTTGGGGCTAAATGAATCCATGACTACTGCACTGACACCTTGTGTGCCTGGCTAGAAATTCTAGGACTCCCACAGGCTGTCAGCTATTTAGGAAAGTTACACCAAATGATCAAGAAAAGAGCTGCTGAGTTTGGCTGTTTTAACTTCGTACTGGTTCTGATTTAAGAAGGGTTTTATCAGTTGAGACTCAAGTTGCAAACTAACACATACCACAACCACATGAGGTGGTTATACATAAGGTGACGTACATATGAAAGAAACCGTGTAGGGCTACTGTTGTTGTTACTGCTTGTCCCTCATTTTTGAAGAGGACCAATGACGTCACAGGGTGATGTGAATTTGATTTAAGTGAGGCAGAATCACACAAATCATCAGCCTCACTCTCTTCTTGAATTATTGAAAGTCCAGCAGCGGGACAAAAATCCAGACAACTGGCAATAACCCTGGATGCAATGGACATAACCTCGGTGTCTTCAGCATCTGACCAAGTTCTAAGTGCTCCATAGCACCTGCTTCAGGACCTTCGTGGTTTAGCCATGCTTCTTGGAGCCACAGGTGAAGAGCTGAGGGAATCTATTACTATCCAACTGTACTGGATTAGCTGCAGAGTCTTAAGAAAACTAATCTTACTCTGACTAATAAGATGGGGGGGGGAAGAGGGTTGTGGGGGGTAAAATTTCTCCTCTTAAAAAGGATGGGCGAAGAGATGTTGATGTCCTTAAAAAGTACCTTTTTTCCCCCACAGAACCTGTAGCCTAATGTAGTGATTCTAGTAGGAGAAATGTGTCCAACAGAATCTCATCATCTGGGATGGTGTTGGCAAACCAGGATATAATGGACATGTCAGCATTTCTTGACTGTTGTTTGGAAGCACTGTGAGACACTGCATATACTTCCAGCCCTTACTGTACACACATCCTAAAATTACCATGCAGAGAAATACTATATCCCTTAGATTTTATAAATGTTGCCTTAAGACAGGTCTATGCATCAGATACTATTTCCCTAGTATCATGGAAGCAACACCAAAATTGGTGCATGAAAGACAGAATTTGAGGCCTTTAGCTTCCACATTTATAAAATTAAAGAGCTGGACTAGGTGGTCTCTAGATACATTTCCAGTTGCAATTTGCCTAAATCCTGCTAAAATATTCCTGTTCTTATTGGTCTACATAACTCACTCACTAAAGAGAGACTCAGAACATCTAGAGCCAGAACAAAGGGCACAAAGAGGTTCATAAATAGCCTTAGCTAAAAGAAAGCAAAGACCCACTGAAAAGTGTTTTGTGTGTATAATGTGGGCATATATAGATATACACACACACACACATATATATATATACACATACATATATATATATATATATATATATATATATATATATATACACACATATATAGTGTGTATAATGTGGGCATATATAGATATACATACATATATATACATACATACATATATATACACACATATATATTGTGTGTATAATGTGGGCATATATAGATATACATATATATACATACATACATACATACATACATATATATATACATATATATATATAGCGTGTATAATATGGGCATATCTATAGATATAGATATAGATATAGATATAGATATAGATATAGATATAGATATAGATATAGATATAGATATAGATATAGATATAGATATAGATATAGATATAGATATAGATATAGATATGGAAATGGAAAGAACACTGGATTTGGAGTCACAGTCCTTGGTTCAAATCCTGGCTCTGCCACGTACTACCTGTGGAACCCTGGGGAAATTGCTTGATTTCTCTGAGCTTGTTTTCTCATATGTAAAATTAGAGTTGGTGGCCTCTAAAGCCTGCTCTAGCTTGCAACCTAGGACCCTCTCTATTCTAGACTATCAACTCCTTGAGGGAAAGAAGGCACTTAACAGAAGGCTCAGTACAGAGAGAAGGTGCTCAATTCATGCCTCTAAAACCATTGAAGAGAACCATGAAGAGTGGGCAGGCAGCACACACCTTACCTGACAGCAACCCAACTGTCATTGGGCCCCTCGCTACGTGGAGGGCTCTACCTCCGGCTTCTGTCTTGAAATGAGCTGCGCCTCCTTCAAGGACAGGTATACTTCTTCTTGAGGATCATAGTAGTAGAACTTTCTGATGTAAGAGATCAGAGGCCTAGGACACAGAATTGGCATGAGCAATTATAATAAAAGATATATTATAAAAAATGTTTTAATAAAAATAAGGCTCTATTTTCCCCCCCTTTCCTCTCCTCTGTCCCTGTATGGACAGGGGAGACTATTCTCAATTGCTCCTCATACAGATTCCTTCCCATATTTTCATCTATGTCTCTTTCTCTGGCTTTATCCTTCAAGAGTCCCTATATCACTTCCACCATATTCTTCCCCACCTTTCCATGGAGATTGCTAGGTATACACATACATCCTTTTCATATGGACACATGCCACAGCCCTAGAGTTAGAATTAGGAAGAAACAGACCTGGAGAGGGTGACAGCTGAGAACATTTTATGTCAAGCTCCATCTCTGGAATTTGAGCCAATAGGCTTTATCAGGAAATGTATTTATCTTTTCCCATATTCCCCTTTGGCCCCCAAATCCCTTAAATCCAAATGCCAACATACTTCGGCAAAGGAAGATCTGGGATGTGATCTATCCGGACAAGCTGTCGGATCCGAAAGCGGCAAAGATGCTGGAGAGATTTGACATTGCTGAATCTGGACACGGGATAGAGGAGCTGGACTGGAGTTGGTGGGAGTCCTTTAGGAACAAAAACAAGAAATAAAAACATGACATTTAGTAGTTGGGTGATCTTTCTGCGCTTTAGTTTTTTCATCTGTGAATTGAGAGGCTTAGCCTTGATGACCTCAATTGTCCTTTCTTAAACGTTCAAATACTGGCTGGGAAAGGGGCTGTGGCTATCACCAAAATTAAAAAGTATACGGCCCTGTCAGATTTTTTTCTCAATATGTTCAAGCTTTACTTAACTGGAGAAAAACACATAACATTTAATCCCCCACTTAGTATGTGAAGCTTTTAAGAATAAGATGAGCATTCAAAATAATAACTCTGAAGAAAAAACTGAAAGAGAATAAATAACTTAGATCAAATTTGAAGACGGGAAGGAGCTAGTTATGCATATGGAAGAGTTTCTGAATAAATATGGGATAGGATCCCAGGAGATAAAACAGACAATTCTGATCACATAAAATTGAAGTTTTTGCACAAGTTTTCAAAGAAAGAAATCCAAGCTACCAAATAACCATGTGATCTAGATCACAACAATTAGAAAAACATATATTAAAAAAACTGAAATTCCACTTTGCATACATTAAATTGTCCAGCTGGGAAAAAAAAAGGAAAATGACAAATGAGGTTGCAGGAAACAGGCACACTAAAACAATGTTGTTGAAGCTGTGAATTGGTCCAGGAATTCTAGAAAAGAATTCACAACTAAGCTCCTCCAAAATCACTAAACTATGCATACCTTTTGACCAACAATATCACTATTAAGCCAAAGCAATAAGAAAAAAGAGAAAAACAAGCAGCTCTTTGCCAAAGAACTGGAAACCAAGGATGTACCCATCAACTGGGGAACGGTCAAGCAAAATTTGGTACATGAATACAATAGAATTAGATTACGCAGTAAGAAATGACAAAAGGTATGATTTCAGAGAAACCTGGGAAGACTTATATGAACTGATGTAGAGTGAAGTGAGCAGGACCAGAAGCAAAATTTACATAACAACATTATAGAGACCAAACAGTCAGAAAGACTATTATCAATGCAATGATCAATTATGGTTCCAGAGGACCCAAGATGACACATGCTACCCACATCCTAATAGTGATGGACTTGAGGTACTGACATATAACATTTTTTGCTATGGCCAACTTGTAAATCTGTTTTTTTCCAGTGGGGAGAGGGAAAAAAAAAATGCATATTAATAGGAGGACTGGGCTCATCAGTTGATATAATTTTTTTTTGTACACTTGAAACTTAAAAAAACATTTCTACTTCATATCTCAACTATAACCTTTGTTATCAACATTCCTTAGCATTCTTTTTCATGTTATAAAAAAACAATAAAATATGGTTTTACCCATAAGGATTGGATGTGTTGGCTGGATGATGCATGTGCTAAACATTTTATTGTAAATATGAAGACATGATCTTACAATTATTCCTATTGGGTCATTTCTTTGCTCATACTAGTCTTTTTCCCTTGGAACATCAGTAGAATAAGGCAAATGTTAATAAAAATTTGTCAACAATTGATAGAGTATAATAAAAGTTTATTTTTGTGTGTAGTTTTTCCTGTTTTACTAGCTTGCAAATTAAGTGGGGGGACATTTTTAGATTTTCAAAATGTATAGTCAGGATGTCATAGTAATACAGTTTTGCTTATATTATCAATGATAAAATGTCCAAGAGACTCTCTGATGAAAAGATTTTAGATCTATTAAGAAATATAAAGGTCCAGCAGGACTCAAGTGAAAGGATATAAGAGGACCTCTCCAAACCACCTGCTGGTGGAGGTGGAAGCTCCACAGGTATCATACATGTTTTCAGACTTTTTTAACATACTGATTAGACTTTTTTTCCTCATGAAAAAATATTTGTTACATAGGATGATTTTCTGGGAAAGGAAGTAATAGTTGAGATAAATAAAAGATATCAACAAAAAATAACTATTAAGAAATATCTCATCATACTTATCCAATGTTGAGCTTTCAGATAGTGAATTCAATGACATAAATGCTACAATTGAAAAAGTGAGGCAAACAAAAAGAATTCCTCATTTGATTCCAGCAATGATTATTCCTATCAATGAAGTTCCTGCTATAGCTGATAACATAAACGTTAATAAGCAATGTGGATGATTCTCTAAATAGATGCACAAAAAGCTTCTGACAAAATACAACACCTATTAAAAACACTAGAGAGCATAGGAATAAATGGAGTCTTCCCTAAAATAAGTAGCATCTACCTAAAACTTTCAATAAGCATTATATGTAATGGGATAAGCTAGAAGCATTTCCAATAAGTTCAGAGGTGAAACAAGGATGTTCATTATCACCACTGTTATTCAATATGGTACTAGAAATATTAGCTTTAGCAATAAGAAAAGAAAAAGAAATTCAAGGTATTAGAATAGGCAAAGAAGAAACAAGGCTATCACACTTTACAGATGATATGATGATATACTTAGAGAATCCTAGAGAATCAAGTAAAAAACTACTTGAAATAATAACTTTAGCAAAGTTGCAGAATATAAAACAAACCCACAAAAATTACTGGCATTTCTATATATTACTAACAAAGCCCAACAGCAAGAGATAGAAAGAGAAATTCCATTTAAAGTTACTGTAAACATTATAAAATATTTAGGAGTCTACCTGCCAAAACAAACCCAGGAACTATTATGAACACAACTATAAAACACTTTTCACATATGTTTAATAGGAATGTATATGTATAGTCTGTATCAGCCTCCCATGCCTTGCGGAGGAAGGGGGAGGGAGGGAGAGAAAAACTTAAAACTCAAAAGCTTATGGAAGTGATGGTTGATAAATCAAAATAAACTAATTTAAAAAACAAAACAAAAAACATAACACTTTTCACACAAATAAAATCATATCTAAATAATTGGAAATACATTAGTTGCTCATGGGCATCCTACCTAAATTAATTTACTTATTCAGTGCTATACCAATTAAAGAACCAAAAAATTATTTTATAGAGGTAGAAAAACTAATAACAAGATTCATCTGGAAGAACAGAAGGTCCAGAACATCAAGGAAACTAACAAAAAGAAATGCTAGGGAAGGAGGCCTAGCCACACCAGATCTTAAATTGTATTCTAAAGCAGCAATCATCAAAACTACTTGGTACTGGCTAAGAAACAGAGTGGTGGATCAGTGGAATAGGTTAGGTACACAAGACACAGTGGTCAATGACTGTAGTAATCTACTGTTTGATAAACCCAAAGACTCCAGCTTCTGGGGTAAGAACTCATTCTTTGACAAAAACTGCTGGGAAAACTGGAAAAGAGTATGGCAGAAACCAGGCATAGATCAAAATCTCACATCATATACCAAAATAAAGTCAAAATGGGTTCATGTTTAGATATAAAGGCTGATACTGTAAGCAAACTGGGAGAGCAAGGAATAGTTTACCTATCAGATTTATGGAGAACAGAAGAATTCATGATCAAACAGGAGACAGAGAACATTATGAAATGCAAAATGAGTAACTTTGATTACATTAAATTGAAGTTTTTTCACAAACAAAGCCAATGCAACCAAGATTAGAAAGAAAGTAGAAAACTGGGAAAGAATTTTTACAACCAGTGTCTGTGATAAGGGCCTCAATTCCAAAATGTATAGAGAAATCAAATTTATAAGAACACAAGCCATTCCCCAATTGATAAATGGTCAAAGGATATGAACAGGCAGTTTTCAAAGGAAGAAATTAAAGCTATCTATAGTCATATGAAAAAATGCTCTAAATCACTATTGATTAGAGAATGCAAATCAAAACAACTCTGAGGTACCACATCACACCTATGAGATTGGCTCACATGACAAAACAGGAAAATGATAAAGGTTGGAGAAGATGTGGAAAAGTTGGAATATTAATGCATTGTTGGTGGAGTTGTGAACCGATCCAACCATTTTGGAGAGCAATTTGGAACTATGCCCAAAGGGCTATAAAAACACGCCTATCCTTTGATCCAGCAATAGCACCTCTAAGGCTGTATCCCAAAGAGATCATAAAAATGGGAAAAGCACCCACATGTACAAAAATATTTCTAGCAACTCTTTCTGTGGTGACAAAGAATTGGAAATTGAGGGGATGCCCATTAGTTGGGGAATGGCTGAACAAGTTGTGGTCTATGAATGCAATGGAATACTATTGTGCTATAAGAAATGATGAGCAGGGCAACAGCTAGGTGGCACAGTGGATAGAGCACCAGCCATGCATTCAGGAGGACGTGAGTTCAAATCTAGCCTCACATATATGCACTTACTGGCTGTGTGACCCTGGGCAAGTCACTTAACCCCAATGCCTAACCAAAAACAAAAACCAAGAAATGATGAGCAGGCAGACTTCAGAAAAACCTGGAAAGACTTGTATAGACTGATGCTGAGTGAAGTGAGCAGAACCAGGAGAACGTTGTATACAGTAACAGCCACATTGTATGACGACCAACTTTGATAGACCTAGCTCTTCTCTGCAATGCAAGGATCTAAGACATCTCCAAAAGTCTCATAATGGAAAATGGAAAGAACTATGGTATCTGAATGCAGATGGAAGTTTATTACTTGCTTTTTTTTCCCTTCCATTTTGCTTCTTCTTTCTTGCAGTTCCTCCTGTTGGTTATAATTCTTCTTTACAACATGACTAACGTGAAAATATGTTTAATAGGAATGTATATGTATAGCCTATACCAGATTGTATACCATCTTGGGAAGGGAGGAGGAGAAAATTTAAAACTCAATATCTTATGGAAGTGAATGTTAAAAACAAAATAAATTAATTTTAAAAGAGAGAGAGAGAGAAATAAGCAATGTGGATCCAAGTTCATGACAAAAGAGATAAAGGGCCACAATGCCTGAAAGATAAAAATGGTTCTTTTTGACAATGAGCTGTTGCTTCTCAAGCCATGAGCAGACACTTGCAACAGCTAAATATCATACATTGATTTGGTCCTACTCAACAACCCATGTCTTCTTTTCAAATTTTACTTAGTAAG